GCTATTCTATTGTCTTCCAGCTTACATGGTTTTGACTGAGAAATAGAACTTAGATTAAGTTTAGATTGTTTCCTTTTTGTAGGTGACTCTTTGTTTTTCTCAAACGGACCTACTTTGGGTATGTTGCTAGGAAGGGAGAAAGACAAAATGTTTGGAAAGGTGGAGGGTTATCACAGGAGAGGAAGACCTCAGATAAGATCTCAGGATAGAATAGGGTTCAGATACATTGTGCATAAGGTTGCTATGATTTGCAGTTGACTCAATCGACATTATGCAGATGACACAACCTTGCTTGTTGAAACTGAGGAGGACCTGAAGCACTTGGTATGGAGGGTCAAGGACTGCAGCCTTAATATGGATTGAAGCACAACATCAAGAAAACAAAGATCCTCACCACTGGGCTGATTGGCAGCATCATGATATATGGTGAAGAGATTGAGATCGTCGATAGCTTCAGTTTGCTTGGCTCTACAATCAATAATTTTGGTACACACAGCCAAGAAATGAAATGACGTATTGTGTTGGGAAAATCTGCTGTCAGAGACCTCTCAAAAGTACTGAAAAGCAATGATATCAATCTGGAGAATAAGATGCACCTGATACAGGAATGAAGGTCTTTGCAATTACTTGCTATGCCTCAGAGCTGGAAAATGACTAGGGATGATAGAAGGAGAGTTGATGCCTTTGAGCTGTGGTGCTTAAGAGTATTGAATATACCATAGACTGCTTGGAGAATAAACAAGTTCGTTGGAGAGGGTGAAGCCAGGCTTCTCCTTGGAGGCAAGGATTCTGAAGTTTCGTCTGACATACTTTAGAAATGTTACAGGGCAGGACCAGTCCTCGGAGAGGGATGCCATGCTTGTGAGGGTGGAGGGACAGCACAGGAGAATAAGACTCTTGGTGAGATAGATTGATTCATTGACTGGTGTATTCAGAGTAGGTGTTTCAACGACAATAAGATTGGCACAGGATAAAGCAGGGTTTAGGGCTGTTGTACATAGAGTCGCTGTGAGTCATAGGCAACTTGACAGAACATAACAACAACAACATACTCTGTTAAATTTGAAAACCTAGAGGAAATGGTCAAATTCCTTGAAGCTCGTGCCCTACCCAGATTGAAACAGGCAGATTTGGAACACTTGTAAAGACCCCTCACAAATGAAGAAACTGAGCAGGTAATAAAAATGTTCCCCCACAAAAAAAGTCCTGGACCAAATGGTTTCACAGCCAAATTATACCAAGCATTCAGAGAAGATCTATCACCAATTCTATTTAAAGTATTTAAAAAAAATAGAAAAAGAAGGAATACTCCTATTATCATTCTATAAAACAAGAATGAATCTAATACTAGACCCAGGCAAAGATATTACCAAGAAAGAAAACCAGAGGCCAATATCTTTCATGAATGTAGATGCAAAAATTCTTAACAAAATCATAGCCAATGGAATCAAACAGCACATCAAAAAAGAAATTCATCATGACCAAGTAGGATTCATAACAGGTATGCAAGGATGGCTCAGCATAAGAAAAACAATCAACATAGTTCACCACATTAACAAAGCAAATAACAAGAACCATATGTTTCTAGCAGTTGATGCAGAAAAGCTATTTGATAAAATCCAATACTACTTTCTGAGTAAGAAACTTGTTGTTGTTGGTATGTGCCATCAAGTCGCTTGCTACTTATAGCGACCTTATGTACAACAGCCCTAAACTCCACTCTGTCCTGTGCCAGTCGCACCATCTCCGATACAACCATCCCAATTGCCCCAGTCACTGAATCAATCCACCTCATAGAGGGCCTTCCCCTCCTGCGCTGTCCCTCCACCCTACCAAGCATGATGTCCATCTCCAAGGACTAGTCCCTCCTTACAACATGTCCAAAGTATGTTAGACAGAGCCTCAGAATCCTTGCTTCCAAGGAGCTGCCCAGTTTGACCCTTTTCAGGATGAATCTGTT